CGAATTTATTGTGTGCTTTATTATCACCCATTACACATTTTCCTTGTATCAGCATTTTGTTTAGGAACAATATCTTCATGGAATTAATCTTATAAAAGAAGTTTTGTTATATATCGAGTTGCATTTTTCTGTTTTTAATCATAATGAATGGTTAATAAATAAATATTTTTCATCGCAAAATTTCTGTGTTAAACAAATATTAATTAATATAAGAAATTAAGTGTACGTACAGTTGATGTATGCTATAAGGCAATTCAAATTTTTTGGCGCGGAAATTTATAGTTTAAAAGATCTGAGCAAAAGGGTATCAATATTTGAGGACATGTATTAGTTATTTACCTTTCGAAACTGCCTAAACGTATCATGATCACACAATAGAAGAATCCAGATTTAAATAGTTCTATAGAAAACTTTAGACCTTTGAAATTGTACCGTTGAAAATCTCACGCAGTCTTTTTCCCCCGAAGAACATTTATTGATTAAGAGAAAACAGGTTCCTTCGAAAGATTCAGTTGCGTACTCTGCAACCATTTTCCCGCCACAATTTTTACAACACAAATACTTCTCAATGATAATGATTTTATTATTCTTTAGATATTATTAACGATAATAAAGTTTATAAAGATAAACCATTAAAATTTTAACGATTTTTCACGAAATTAATTGTTAATGTTATATTTCACATTTGATTCTCATTTCAATCGAGATGTCGCTTCGATCGATTTTAGCCTCGATGCCAAACGGATAATTGTTACAAATCAGTATTAACTAAAAACGCCTTACAATATATTTAAAAACAAATAAAAATCCAAATTTAAAGAAATAAAATAAATTTAAAAATCCGTTTCTATAACGAAAAAAAGTGATAAAAAAGGATAAAGAAAAGATAGAAACTAGTGGGAACATTTGTGGCGTTCCTATTGGCTGCTTGTTTTGCTGTTTCCGATCGGTAGCGTCTTCCCGCGCAAATGAACACCGACCCAACAGTCGCCGCCAAAAAATCTGACGTCCGACAACGTATCTCTTTTGTCGTCGTAGTTTTACGCGTTGCAACGATTTCTCATTCTTTCTGTTGCAGTCTAATCGTGTACAAGTAGACTGATTCACTGTAATTCGAAAAAGTTCATCGAGCATTTGCTATAATTCTTTTTGTGATTTAGATTGAAATCATCTCAAATAACGTGAAAAGATGTCGGGTCGTGGAAAGGGTGGTAAGTATACGCCTTCAGTAAAACACATAATAAAATGAAACATTTTAACTTTCTCTTCATTCATTTGTATCTTATATCTTTTCTTTCTTTTATTTTCTGTTAATAAGGGATAAAAATTAATACAGTAATTAGATTAATTTAGATTGAAAATGATTTAATTTTACTAGGAAAAACTAAGGGAAAGGCAAAGACCCGTAGTAGTAGGGCAGGGCTACAGTTCCCGGTTGGAAGAATCCATCGACTTTTGAGAAAAGGAAATTATGCTGAACGCGTCGGTGCCGGTGCTCCTGTATATCTTGCCGCTGTGATGGAATATTTGGCGGCTGAAGTACTCGAGTTGGCCGGGAATGCCGCAAGGGACAACAAAAAAACCAGGTCCGCCGAGAATTATTACATATAATCTTTTTTCTCCCTCGCTCCCTCTATTTCACTTTTTCTATATTCTAACTCTTTTCTATCTTTCTATTTCCGTTTCTCTTTCTCTTTCTCTTACCAGAATACTCCATGTTTTTTTATTTTCATCATTATTTTATGTCTAGCATCTTTTAAAGAAAAAGAAAAAGAAAGGGAATAAGTAAACAATTATTTTATCTTGAACGTTAATAAGGGTGGTAGTTTGACTATAAGATTAATATATATATATACATATTATATATACATATAACATATATATATATACATGTGTGTATTATATATATGGTACTTTTGTTTCAAATTAAATCAGAAATATGTAATAGTTTTATAAATGCATTCTTTTGCAATATTCTCTAGTTGATACAATATTTTTGAAGATATAATCTCAGCTAGGTCATGAACTTGAATTAAAATTTCTTTTCTTCGCTGTCTTTAATCAACTTCTATATCATAACTCTAACTAAATTATGTATTTCATAAGATCAAAAAATGATTATTTTTAAATATTTGGTTCTTGTACTTTCCAGAATCATTCCACGTCATCTACAGCTAGCTATCCGTAATGACGAAGAATTAAACAAGTTGTTGTCAGGTGTTACTATTGCTCAAGGCGGTGTCTTACCCAATATTCAAGCAGTTCTTCTACCGAAAAAGACTGGTACTGGTGGTTCCGGAAAGGGAGACAAAGCTTCCCAAGAATATTAGATTAAACATTTATTATATAAAATATCTTAGGAATGCGTCTTATTCCGGAAACCTGACATGTTCACAGACACCGTTTATCTCAGTAACATTGTGTCAATCAAATACATTTGAGTCTTATATATTGATAATGTAGCGTACAGTTTTAGTTCTACATTATTTTTCAAATTCTTAGCCTACTTTTTGTTTATCCTTTTCCTTTTTGTTTTCATTCAATAAATAAATAATACATAAGAACCCATCTTAATATTAATAATAATAATAATAATAATAATAATAGTAATAATAATAATAATCTATGTTAATTGATTTTTGTTTAATGTAAACGTTTTATGTGAAAATAAATAACGACGAATCTTCACTTTATATATTCCCAATTGTGTTTATTAATATAGAATGTAATAATTATGATAAGACATTTAAGAGAAGATTTTGATATTTAAATATTTTATAATATTTTTATAATATACTACAAAACGAAATACTTATTCTTTCCGTATCTGCGAATGCATTCAATTTGCATACTATACATATGTATATATGTATATTGTTTCACATACACGTATATAGATATATAGACCTTTATTAACTTCCGGTGACGTTTGCGTAGGATAGCTAGAGTAGACATTGTATAGAGAGCGCGTCGGTTCGACGTGATTAGATTTCGTTAAGACAAATAGATTTGAAAAAGGTTAATAACTGATTGACAATTAAATTTAACGTTGAAATAAACGTTAAAAAATGTCGACGACAGATATAAAAATGCTTGTGGACATGGGTTTCAGTATATCCAAGGCGTAAGTTTCGAATTAATTAGTTCAAGCGGCAAAAGTTAACCTTGTCAGTTTACATTATGTTTTGTTATAGCGAAAAGGCCCTGGAAATTACAGGAAACAATGGCGTTGTCCCAGCAATGGAATGGTAAAAGTTTCTTTTGTTTAATTTAAATTATTTATTTATTATTTAATTATCATTTTATTTGTTCATGTCAATAAAAATATTCAATTTATTTGACAAGGCTCTTGGCTCATGGTGATGAAGCAGAACCTTCACCTGAACCTCCTGTTGCTGAGAGTGCACCAGCTTCGGTAGCCGATACTCCAGCACAAGATAGTAATGCTAGTACGGGTGGACAAGTATCTACGACAGAAGTTGCAAAGTCTATGAAATGTGATATGTAGGTACATGGTTTTTCTCTCATTGTACGTTAAGTAATTTGACCAATTTCATATTCATTGTTTTTCATGCAGTTATATTTTGTTAGTCATGTTAGTCGCACTCTTATTTATTATAATTTTCATTATCGTTGTCATGTTTAAATATTTTATAGATGCGGAAAGCTTTTTAACTCCAGTCTTGCAGTTGAATTCCATGCTACAAAGTCTGGACACGATAAATTCTCAGAAAGTACAGAAGAAAAGAAACCACTTACCGAAGAAGAGAAGAAAGAACAATTGAAATTGCTGGATGAAAAACTAAGGCAAAAGAGAAAAGAGAGAGAGGAACAAAATAAGAAGGATGCTTTTGAAAGGGAGAAAAATCGAATAAAATCTGGAAAAGAAATGTCAGAGGCAAGGAAGAGGTAAGATGTTATGCTAAGAGAATCAGAGTTTAAGCATATGTTTAGTAGGATTGATTTTAATATTTTTATATTTGTATCAATCACAGATTAGAAGAGTTAGAAATGAAGAAGATTTTGGAACAAAGGAAAAGAGAAAAAGAAGAAGAAAAAATTGCGAGGCAAAAAGTCAAAGCACAGATTGAAGCCGACAAAGCTGCTAGACGTGCAAAAGCTGCTGCCGATAACAATCAGACTCCTAATTCTGTATCAACGTCCTCATTGTTGTCATCGTTCTCTTCTACATCAACTCATCATAGGAAAGATTACAGCGAGACTAAGCTGCAGGTAATTATAAATAGAAATATGTGGAAAATAGAAGTAAAAAGATATTTGACTGTTCTCTTTATGATCTCATATAATATTCTTCAGATTAGACTTACAAATGGAAATACGCTAACACAAAGTTTTGGAAGCAAAGAACAGTTATCTGCGGTTAGATTATTTGTTGAAATGAATCGAACGGATGATGGTGGAGCATTTAATTTAATGACAAACTTTCCTAAAAAAGTATTCACAGAGGAGGATTACGATGTACCATTAGACGTTTTAGGTATGCTGTGTTTGAAATCAATTTACTTGGCGCAGCTTAGAAATGTTTTATTTATCTGGATTTTTTTAGGGCTGGTGCCTTCTGCAGTTATAATCGTTCAAAAAAAGACTGCATTGTGTTGAGTGGTTTCTATTTTTACTTTAATGATCAGAGTGCAAACAATGAGCAGTTGCATTATCTTTAAATATGCAATTTAATTGCAATTAAGTGCTATACGAAACAAATTCTTTAATATGCGTTGGTTATTTAAGATTGCAAATAAGTTTTTCATAACTTAGTTTTCAAAAAATGCTATAACTAAAAAAAAATTGAGTGGAAAGTAGGAAATATATGTTTGAAAATGTTGTATACGTATTTTATTGTAAATCACATCAAAATATTATATTTTTTTTTGTACAATGATTCAACAGTTTGTATAATTCGTTAATTAATAGTTTCAATGATTCATGATTCATTCATATATATATATATATATATTATACAAATTTACAACTTATAGTTTCTGAGTCACAGCCTAAGCTGAATTTCCATTTTTGTACTATGTGATTATTACATTTACAGTTATCGAAGATTTAGTCTTAAAAATTTGCTAAATATTTAGCGAAAGTAAATTTTATATTTGTATCACGTTATAATACGATGGTACAATACCAGGATATATTACTTGCGTAAATTTCTTACAAGTATCATAAGGGAATCCATTAATACCATCGCAATCAATCAATCGTAAATTTTTATCGAAGCAAATTCTAATTTCGAAAATATATGCTTCGTTTTTTTCCTTAAAAAATTACACGATTCGTTAATTTTAAAATTACAATAACTTTTTCATACTCCAGAAAAAATGTACACTTACCTTGTTATGCACGCACCCTATTTCTGCTGTGGTACCAATAATTTTTTTAATTGCGTTGAGAATATCTTGTACCGCGTAACTGCTACCAGGTAGAATGTTACGTTTTCCAAGAACATTTTTCATGTCATAAATATCCAACAATTCGAGTCCCTTTTGAAAATATTTTAATTCAGTGTTTAATTCTGGAAGTATAGTAGCACAAGTACCGTGCTTGTTCCACTCATGACGCCAAAAGGAATACGAATCCTTCATATTTTCTACATCGATCCACTTTTCTTCCAATTCATTTTTTATCGGATTCAGGGCACTCGCATTAAATGGCAAAGATTGATTACAAAAATTCGGACCTTCGGTGTGATACTTTGTTGGCCATATACCATGAATAGACCATTCGTCGTTCTTGGGTAATGCACAGGCATGCGATTCCGACTTTTCCTTCCATACGTAACACACGGTTTGTGGCCAGTGTTGAGTGAAAATTAAAACATCAAAGTTTTGAGAATCTTTTACTCTTTGTTGGCATTTAGAACGTCGTCTCCTAGGTAGACAACAATTCGATTTAAGTGAATATTTTGTTTTTTTATGATATGAATGAAGTGATTTAGTATTCTACACTATCCTATCATGTATTTCCTATTTCAAAATATTTTTTTCAGTACTTGTATATATTAAGTATATACACATTACACTTTCTTTACGAATATGGCATTGAAAAAGTAATACGAATTATCGCGTAATATGTTAGTTAATGTTAGTGTATCCATGGTTGAATAACGGGGCTTGCATATAATTTGCTAGGTCGATTATTTCTTCAGTATATTGATGACGTAAAAATAAAATGATCATCTCGTGAATGAAATTTTACAGTGTTTCGTTATATAACACTTAGGAACTTTAACATTATAGTTGAAAATAAATCGTATTACTCACCCGAAACTATGATCAAATAAAAGTAAAAGAAGGAGACACTTGACTATGTGCTGCCGTAGCATGCTGTTAGCAGCTTGGAGTCTCTTTGTTAATAAGAGAGATTGAGTTCTCGAATACGTTCCTTTCCCTCGTTTCTTACACGCAATCTCACTCCCACCACTATTTTTAGTTTTACCCTACCATCCCAACTAAATATTACAGAATAGAATAGAAGGCAGCCCCTTTGCTTCAGTGGTGCGCAAATAAAGAATTTCGATCCCATCAGAGGGTTGCAGTTAGAATATTGAAATTGCTGACATTTTTATGTATTTCATTTATAATTATAATTAAATTAAAATCTTCAATTTTTAGTTTATTTTTTAAAATCAAACTAGAGATAATATGATTCTTATATTTTAATCAATTTTAATTAAAAGAATGTTTAGAATCCCGTTTGTATAGAATTCCTTTCACGACTATAAATGATTTGCGCACCACTGTTTTACCTGGAAGTTAGATACGTTTCAACAGGTTTACGCACGTCTCTCTTTCTTCTTCTCTATCTCCTCCTCTTCTCTCTTTATAGAAGTGTTATAGATAAGAATAAAAAATTTTAAAGAATTGCGTAATTTAAAGGTATTCGTTTTTCTTATCGTATTTCTTTTTTATAATATTTTAACATTTATTTTGTACTGTTACCTTGCTAGAGTAAATAATGTGAATATTTAATACAGTTGTTCAAACAGATACGTTAAGTTATAAGAACTATTAAGTTCGTTCTTTTTGCTGAGAATGTACAAAATTGCTTTTGATGACGTACAAATAAAGTATCATTATCCGCTCATAAAGAAGTATGTGTTGAGATTGATGTCTCTAAGCATTTGCTGCGTTGAACAATACATTTTATTGATCTTATCGTCTTTCATATAACACATGTTTATTTCAATCATTTTTCTAATTCTATAATCTTCTTAGAAGATAATTTATTCAATATGATCTATGCACTTACTGCCGTCTCTTTCTATCACTGCTAAATTATATTCAATTCCTTATAGTATAAAATCTGTTCTACAAGCATGCTCATATTCATCATAATTCAGGGGCAGTACAATTAGAACGAACAAAATTTGAATTCTTTTTTTTCTGCTAATATCTTGCATATCAATTTTACTTCAAATTTGAATTTGTGTTCTTATTTTGAAATTGTCAAAAATTCTACATCAACAACTAGTAAACAATTGAATGCTCGACTTGATTCGATACTTATAAATTTGTTATATTTGATATAGTAATTGTACAAAGTTAATTACTTTATAGTATAAATTATAATACTATTTTATAATATTATTAATTACTATTTCTTATTCGTATTAATTTAAAATATATACAAAAATAATTTCTTTTGTTGGTAGTGTAGGAAATGATGTGATCTTAAATAAAAACTTCCCAACAAATTTCATTAAGATGGAGCACAAACAAGTTTGCATAGCACTGCAACATAGTTCATAATGTATAAACATAAGGTAAATATTTTCATTTTTTTCTGCTGTTGCGATTCTATGCAAATTTTTTTGTGGTGAAGTAAATAGAAACTCATAAGTTCCCTTTTTTATCTACTCACCTTCATTTTTGTTACCACTGGAAGCACCATTGGACGATAGAAGGTACATAACGCGATAACGGTACAATACTATCAAAGAATAGAGTATTCTTTGATGGTATAAATAGTACAGTTCTATTATAATAAAATTAAAAATAAATATATTTAATTTATAATGTATAAACATGTGTGTGCCTTCAGAAATGCATTTATACGTATATTTTAAAATGAAGCAATTTAAGACACTCAAATAAAAAAGAATCCAGAAGGTTTGATGATAAATCCAACGATGATCACCTGTAACAAGAAGAAAACTATATTAGTCATACAGACAAAAGTGATACAATAGCCTGACATATAAATCGTCCAATTCGCAGATGCACTTTTCAATTGAATTCTATATTTATTTTGATCAAATCTCTATTAATCGTTGCAATGAAATTAAATTTAAACGCGTGATTTTACATTTACATAAAATAAATAAAAATAAAGAAATATGAAAAGTAAAAATAATAAGTTACTAAAAAAAATTATATCTATTAATTATTATGTGAACTTCTTTTAAATAGCATTATATAGAAAAGAAAAATTACAAATTTAATAAAATACGATCACAGTGAAAAATTTTAAAGACGAAACAAGAAAAGAGAAATTACTTTAATATTCACCGAACGTTAATTAAGCTTCAAAATTTAATAATACAAAAATTGTAATATTTCTGACTCTAACTAAACACATATGCATCTTTTTGACGATTGTGAGGGACACAAATTTGGTGTCCCAAGGAGATAGAATGGTCCATCATCTCCAATTACAGCTACAAATTAATTACGAGCAACACAGTAATATAATAAAATATAAAATATGACTAGAGAGCTATTTTCGAAAAGTTCGAACTTGCTGTTGAACCTTTGAAAAAAACTCAATAGTCTCAATAGTAGTTGCCCTCTTCAGCCACATTTAAGTGGGGGCCTCTTCGGCCTTAGCCTCTTCGGCATAATGCCTCTTCTTTCTTCATGTCCTAAACTCTGCTACGAGGCTTTTTCTAAGCGCATTTTACAATACAAATCGTACAGTTACATTTACTCGAATGTCTCAACAGATATTTGATCTAATCGATGAACCTATTATTAACACTTTGCATTTAAAAGATTAAATAATATTAAATAAAAGCAGAAACTTTGTCATACATCTTATGGTCTTACTTTTTTACTCGACCACTTTTATCTTTTATCTTTACTCTACTTTGTATTTACTATACATATAGGACAAATGAAGTATTCAGTAGGAATGACTAAAGAGCAAAGCGTTAATATACTTAATATTAAGTAAGTATCCAACGTATTCAGBTAYCTTCACWTTYTYRAAAAAAAATWAATTTTTAAGAAAACGCAAAGACTTTTGAATCGTTCGTACTGTTTTATATCTCGCGATACGGAGTATCAGCAATATATGGAAAAAATAAAAGAAATATTTAAAAGATAAATGAATCTAAAGGTTGCTGAAACTTTGTATAATATCCGGAGAAGAAATTGTCCACTCCTGAGTGGAAATTACAATCGCGCGACTTCTCCGGTCTCTACCTTAGGTGTGAATGTTTATTTAATTTGTAAGTAGGAATTTGTAAATTGTAAGTTGAATAAGTGCTTTTAATTTCTAACTAGGAGCAATTTTTGCTTTAGTATAGGTTATTAATAATAGGTCGTTTGAAAAATTTTCATTTATATTATTTCTTTTTTTTAGTTCAAAAATAATATGAAATATTTTAAGCAATCGGCAAAGCAGGTTACTATTATTATCGATAGTCTTTATTATTACGGACGTTAGGTGGCATCAGTATCAGGATTTAAAGTTTAGTTTAAAAATATCTGTATCTTATTTATTTTTTTGGTTCGTACAGAATTTTTTATATTTTTCTTTTTTACGTGTTACTTAAACAGATAGTTCCATGACTTTAAAAGAAGCAATAAACTTGGTCTTCACAAATGGTATGTTTAAAGGGAGTAGAATATGCAGGAGGATTTCTCTACGGTCTTTCAATCGAGTTCGTGGAATTCAATCTTTGTTTAAGTATTTGTACGTTTAAATTACTTAGAAATTCCAAAAATATTTAGAAATTTTCAAATACATTGAATTCCGAGGTAAATTTTGTACGTTTCTGAAAGTAATTCGCCGACTTTAAGTTTCCGATAAAAGATTTGAATAATGTTCGATGAACGAATTCCATCGCATATTTGAATGACCGATTGCTTAGTTCTTAGATTTCTAAAATTAATTTTTAATATAAGTTAAATAATATTATTTTATATTAAAAAACAAAAATTATATAATTACTCTTACATTGAACTTCTTATGATTTTATAATTTATAACGAATAGAATGTGATATTATATTATTTTTATGGTAAATTGTTGGATATGGATAGGTATATTCGATGTAAAAAAAATCTTGGCGTCAGATGATCGCATATCTAATGAAATTATTTTATTTGCCGTCTACATCTACATGCACTATCTAAAGACGAGTATCGCGTACGAGGGAAAATCATTATGAATGGTACATAAAAAAGATGATTTTCTTTATTTCATAAAAGAAAGAAATGTGTTCATATACAGATAGTAGACTTATATTTTGCTAAAAGAAACGCTTTCAATTGTCCTGACTATTTTAATAATTAGACTATCCTGTTTATATGTATAGCAATCCATGTAAATGTATACAAAAGCGTACAAAAATGGGAGAACATTTAAATGCTTCGATTTTTAGCAAGACGATGTTATTTCACAGCACGGGCCAAAAGAAAATGATTTATATCATTGGAATATTAAGATTATACGAATAGAACAGAAATTATCGACAATTATTATTAAATGCTAGAGATTTTTATCAATTTATACAATTAAATAAGCTGAAATTTAAATATCGATAATTTTTTCGAATATTATTTCTTTTCATACATTTCATTCTTTGTTTCAAAAGTTTATTTGTTAATATTATTTGCATTGACACGCACTGCTTAGAGTATTAAACTTTATGCAAAACTCTTTTATTTTTTTATTTTTATTAGTAACATAAAAAACGTATACAGAGAAAAAGAAAGAGAGAAAGAGAGAGAGAGAGAGAGAGAGAGAGAGAGAGAGGAAGGAGCAAGTTATCAAACGATACAATGTTTCATGGGTTTGTTTTGACGTTTACAAAAAAATGAATCTCTATCTAACATATTTCTATTAACTATATTTAGATTTTTATTTCACTTTCTATACTTCGACAAGCCACGAATAATGTATTCACGCAAGAAAAAAAAAAAACAAAGGATTAGAAGAATTTTAATAGAACGAGCGTAATCACAAGGTTTAGGTATAAGGACCGCTGTTGCTATTCGTACTTAAAAGTTAAAAGGAAAGAGCAGGATTAAAGAACAAAAACAAAAAAAAAATAAGAACAGGGTGGATCGAAGAATGATAAATCCTACCTTTTTTTTTTTTTTTCTTCTTCTTCTTCTTCTTTAGATTAAATATTAAATTAACTAAAGTGTACGGATTAATTGCTCGATTAAATACAATACAAATGTGTATCATTATAAACATACAAAATCGTGGATATATCAAGGACCCGTATCGATTCTTGGTAAATCCTTCTCTTAACAATTGTTTTCATTTTATTATATTTCTTTTTGTCTTATTAATTTGTATAAAATTAACAAAAAAGAAAAACAAACTATAAGATACATTATTTTTATTTTGTATAAATATCATCGGGATCGTGGAACGGGGAGAAGAATTTTTCGCTTAGAAGAGAGACAGGTCCTCAGACTAGGCTCGTGTTCGAGAATAATTTCTAGCATAAACTATGGGGGGAGGGGGGGGTTAGGAAAGAAAAAGAAAAAGAAAAAGAAAAAAGAAAGAAGAAAAAAAGAAATGACTAAAATAATTAAGAATTAAATTAAAATACAAAAGTCGCGCGACACAAAAGTTTTTTTGAAATTTATTGTTCTCTCTTTCGATATATTATTATTATTATTATTATTATTATTATTATTATAGTTCTCTCTTATTCTTCATAGGACACCCCATGCACGATATGTTACATCACAAAAAAATACGAAATGACGTTAGTTTTTAAACCACGTTGGAAGTGATTTTTACTCGACGTTCTTTATCGTATTTTATTTTTCTTTCTTTTTTTCTTTTTCTTTTTTCTTTTTTCTTTTTCTTTCATTCATACGCGTTTATTCGTACACCATCGTCATCATCGTCCTGTAACTTTCTCGTTACTGATCAAAGGGAAAACGTTAAAGGAAGATATAAGTTCAAAAGATATTCAAGTTCCTTTGAAGTTAGAAATGATCGACGGTGATAGAGAGGTATCCCGAGGAAAGTTTTAAACGGGCTGATTCTAATCGATCCGACCTACTTTCTTCGAATCACGTTACGTTTATAAGTAGAATAGAAGCGTGCGTGATCAGACGGTAAATACAGCATTAGAGTTGTCTCATCGGAGGATGAGTAGTTATTCGATCTCGTCGACGTGTTCTTTTTTAGTTTTCTCTTCGGGCTAATAAGTTCGTATAAAAAAGAAAAGATAACAAGTAAAAAGAGAGAGAGAGAGAGAGAGAGAGAGAGAGAGAGAGAAAGAAAGAGTAAGGGAACGATAATCAGAACGTGATCATGCGACTTCTATAGTCTAAAAAATGGCGTAATATATTTTATACATAATCGCATATGAGAATATATATATATATATATATATATATATATATTGTATATATACACATATA